GATGGCGATGGCGGTGGTGACAGTGGTGGTGGTGGTGGCGGCGGTGGTGGTAGTGGCGGGGTGGTGTGATAGTGGCGATGGTGGTATTGGTTGCGGTAGTGGCTGTGACGATGGTGGGGGTGGTTGGTGGTGGCGGTGGCAGTCGTCGGTGGTGGCTGCATAAATGATAATGGTGGTGATGGTAGCAGTGGCGTCGTGATGGTGGTAGTGGTGGCAATGGCGGTGGTGGCAGTGGCGTGGTGATGGCGATGGCGATGGCGGCGGCAGTGGTTGCAATGATGGTGGTGGTTGATGGCAGTAGTGGTGATGGTGGTGGTGACGGTGACAGTGATAATGGTGGTGGTGGTTGCAGCGGTGATAGTTGTGGTGGTGGTGGTGATGGTGGCAGTGATGGGTGGATTGGGTGGAGGTGGTGGTGATGGTGGCAGGGGCAACGTGGTGGTGGGGGTGGTCACGACAACACTAGTGGTATGATGGCGGCGGCGACAATGGTGGCGGTGGTCGTGTCGGGATGATGGTGGTGGTGGTGATGATGATAGAGATGGAGAGTGACTAAGAGAGATAAGTGTTTCTCATTTTGTGCCCGGAAACAAAAAAGCAGAAATTTTCTGATTCTTTTTTCTGTTTCCCAGCACAAAAATTAAACCGGTTCATTCCGGGAACAAAAAAATAAATCGGTTTTACCAAACGAGTTTCCTATCTATTTCTGTTCTCGAAAATAAAAATTAAAAAAAAAAATTGATTCCGGAAAGGTTGTCATGCGCACCCATAGTCTCATGTCATTGCATGCCAAACGTTTAATTTGAAAATGCTACAGCTTGAAAAGAATATAGTATAAAAATGATTTTTTTAATGTGATATAAAAGTCAATATTCAATCAAATCTCACCACCAAACCACCAAATATCTTTACTTGGTAAGCCTGGGTTTTTAATTATTGAAAAATAAATCAATACAATTGGGTAATATGAACTAACCTAGACAAAAAATAAAATAAAAAAAAATATTGTATTCAGTTTCGTGTTGGTGTCATCCCCAAATACTTGTGATGCATCTAGCCTTATAATGAAAAAACTCGACATTCACCTAAATCCTTTTTTACCAAAAAAGAGTAAAGCATAAAAATAAAGGTGTGCTCTAAAAAGTTAAATTTCACTCAAATTGTTGGAAATCAATATATACACATACACAAGATCGATTGCAAACAAGAAGAGAGAGAGAGGGAATAGAAGAATAACAGAGTAATTTATCCTGATTCATCTAATATAAACTACATTTAATTTGTATATACTATATTCGTCTCACTTATACTCGTTGCAAATAAATTTACAATAGAATATAAATGGATTCTAAAAAATTCTTAAAATAATAACTATTTATGAGCCCAAGCTCTTACTTTTAAAAAAATAAAAATACAATAAGTCGGCAATGAATTAGTTATGAGTCAGTCATAAGTCAACAATGAATTAGTCATGAGTTGGCAACCATGAGTTGACAATGAATGCAAATATGAAATATACTCATCACAAATATCATCACGAAATATCAATTACTTGATAACACTATGTAATTAATTAAAAAAATAAATCAACGAAGATCGGGTAAAATTTAGTAGAAAATAATTGCAAAATCACGGGAGGAAAATAATTTATTTAAGAAAGTATTTGAAAAAATCACATGCAATAAAACAAAATTAAAGTATGGATGAAAAACAAAAAATTTATTGCATGCGATCAATATTGTTAAATCGCAATCATGGTTTGTTAGTTCCTTGGTCTAAGGTCTCACTCTTCACTTGTGTCACCCTGGTCTATCTATAACTTGCGGTTCATGGTCTCATACCTAAAATTTTTTTGAATGGGAATCCAAATTTAATGTGAGAAAAATGAGATTGATAAAATATCAGCATACAAATAAAAAAATTAACGAAATAATTAAGATACGTTCATGTTAAATAACAGGGAATCTACTTCTAATAATTTATTATTTATATATTAATTTAATCTTAATTGATTTTTTTTTTTAAGAAGACATAGCATTCTTGGGGCTCAGATTTATTTTTATTGTCAATGTTATTCCATCCGTAGTTATTAGTATCGTACGATACATGATATGATTTACAAGCGTAGCGATACGTATCGTAGAATATATCGGAAATGGCTTTGTATCAGTATCAGACGATACAACACTATATCGTACGATATAATACCAATCATGTATCTTACATGAGTTGGCAACCATGAGTCAGTCATGAGTTGGCAACCATGAGTTGACAATGAATGCAAATATGAAATATACTCATCACAAATATCATCACGAAATATCAATTACTTGATAACACTATGTAATTAATTAAAAAAATAAATCAACGAAGATCCGGTAAAATTTAGTAGAAAATAATTGCAAAATCACGGGAGGAAAATAATTTATTTAAGAAAGTATTTGAAAAAATCACATGCAAGAAAACAAAATTAAAGTATGGATGAAAAACAAAAAATTTATTGCATGCGATCAATATTGTTAAATCGCAATATGTATCGTATATTGTTTGACTAATTTTTTATATCGTGTATCGTGAATTGTGTTGAAATGTAAGATATATAAATAATAATAAATTTTTTAAAAATATATTAAAATATTTATTTAATTATTTCCTCTATTAATACAGATTTTTCAAATTTATTTTTGAGTTTATATCACAAATCAAATCTTTACTTTCTTTTCTTTATTCATAATAAATTTTTAGATTTTTTTAATTTAAATCATAAATCAAATCTTTTTTTCTTTTTTATATTATAAATTATAAGTTTTTATTTAATTTTTGTTTTATTGCATGTGATTTTTCAAATACTTTCTTAAATAAATTATTTTCCTCCCGTGATTTTGCAATTATTTTCTACTAAATTTTACCCGATCTTCGTTGATTTATTTTTGTAATTAATTACATAGTGTTATCAAGTAATTGATATTTCGTGATGATATTTGTGATGAGTATATTTCATATTTGCATTCATTGTCAACTCATGGTTGCCAACTCATGACTGGCTCATGGTTGCCAACTCATGTAAGATACATGATTGGTATTATATCGTACGATATAGTGTTGTATCGTCGCCATTTCCGATATATTCTACGATACGTATCGCTACGCTTGTAAATCATATCATGTATCGTACGATACTAATAACTATGGATGGAATAACATTGACAATAAAAATAAATCTGAGCCCCAAGAATGCTATGTCTTCTTAAACAAAAAAATCAATTAAGATTAAATTAATATATAAATAATAAATTATTAGAAGTAGATTACCTGTTATTTAACATGAACGTATCTTAATTATTTCGTTAATTTTTTTATTTGTATGCTGATATTTTATCAATCTCATTTTTCTCACATTAAATTTGGATTCCCATTCAAAAAAATTTTAGGTATGAGACCATGAACCGCAAGTTATAGATAGACCAGGGTGACACAAGTGAAGAGTGAGACCTTAGACCAAGGAACTAACAAACCATGATTGCGAGTGAGAAGGACGCGCCGCCACAAGCACTATTTCCATGCGACCTCATATATGAAATCCTGTTGAGGCTCCCTGTGAGATCTCTTTTGCGATACAGGTGTGTGTGCAAGCAATGGGAGTCCATGATCTCCGATACCCACTTCGCAAAATTGTACCTTTCTATGTCCACCGTGGATCCAACCTTGACCCACCACCGGTTGCTGGTACACACCGGATACGGCAACGACGAGTTAGCATCTTGCTCCGCGAAATCACTGTTTAACAACCCATTAACCCTTACTGAGGATGTTGACTTCACCATGAGGAGCAATTACCGAATCGCTGGGTCCTGCAATGGGTTGGTGTGTTTGATTGATCTTAGTCAAAACAATGCCTGGTTGTGGAACCCATCTACAAGGCTGTTGTCCAGAAAAACTCCGTCTGTGGATGTACATGGTGTTGAGTTTGCCTTGTTTCGAGGTTTTGGTTATGATCATGTGAGTGGCAAGTACAAGGTGGTTATTGTTTTTACTGATCCCTGGTGTAATGAAGAAGAGCACAGAACTGAGACCAAAGTTTATGCATTTGGTGATGGATCTTGGAAAACAAAACGGAATTTGAAATTCCCTGGTTATCCCAGTAATGAGGAGGGAAAATTTGTGTGTGGCAATTTGAATTGGGTGGCAAAAAGAGGTAAATCTATTAAGCGTCCTGAATGGGAAATCCTTTCTTTTGACCTGGGAAAGGATACAATTAGCAATGTGTTGCTTCCTGATTTTGGTGATGACAATGTTCTTTACCTTGAACAAGCTGTCTTGAAAGACTGCCTTTGTGTTTGTTATAATAGCTATGGAAAAACCCATTTGGTTGTGTGGCTAATGAAGGAATATGGTGTTAAAGAGTCATGGATTAAATTTATGGCAATCCCTCGTGCGGATCATCGGATTGGTTCGTTTCGTAAAACTGACATAAATCCATGTTGCATATCAGAAAAGGGTGCGATTCTATTGTATACGGATCATGGACCAGCTCTGTATGACCCGAAGGTAGACAGATTGGAGTATCCTGATGTTCAGAGACACAGATTTTGGTATGAGCGATGCATTTACGTTGAGAGTCTGGTCTCACCATATTTTTGAAAACTTGAAATTAAGCTTCTGAAGTTTGTACATTTTGCTTATCAGTTTTGTTATTAAAGCAGTGTCTTTTCTTATCTTATTTCTTATCTTATCAAAGTTTCCGAAGTTTTGTTTCATATAAAATTAATAGTGATGTTTTGTTGAAGATTTCACCAAATATTTGTAGTGATGCTTGTTTTATTCTATACTGCATGTGTGTTTTATGTATTGTGGTCAGATTCTCATCTTGGATAGCTTTTACATTTAATATTTTTTGTACTTTGTGGTTATGAGTGTTTTGAACTTAAAAGTTAGGGTGTGTATTATGTGCTATGTTCAAATCTCACATTAGTTGAAAAGGGCTCATGAAGAGTACTTGACATATAGATGGGGTACAACATGGTATTTAAGTTATAATGTGGATTTGGTTCTAACTTTATGCCTGTCAAAATTTTGACGAAGGCAACAACTCTAATACTGCATGGCCAAAGAGATGTTATCTGCTATTAAGTTTGTAGCTTAATTGGCACTTGTCCAAATCTTGATTTTGGATTGAGGCTGAAGGTTTTTCTCCTTGTCAGGCCATTTTTCTTTTCCTTTACTTGCTTGCATCTCCAATATTACTAGAAAGAATAGTTTGAGTTATATTTCTCCACCATCGGTATATGAATAGTTTAAGTTACTTTTGATTTGGGTTAAGGCAGAGAATCTGAATTAATATATATAAAAAGAAGGGTTTTGATTTTCTCACGCGGTAGGAGAGCACGAAAATAGAAGGATCACTAGTAGGAGAAAATAATTCTCCTACAACATGAGAAAATGTTTTCTCTAAAAAGAAACCAGTAAATCATAAAAGTAAAGGGTTCGTTTTTTCTTCAGTTACTGCAGATCAAGATAAGTTATCTGCAGTAAGCCCAATACGACGTCGTTTTAGACGAAAATCATGGTTTTTTTGTAGTTTTAATTTATTTCAGTGTTATAATAGTCTTTATATTTATAATTTTTTAAGATTTCAATACCAAAACGACGTTATTTTGAAGATAAATGCAGATAATTTATCTGCATTAACTGCAGAAATATTTTTCCCAAAAGTAAAAGTTTTTAAAGTGATCTAGATGTCAAATTTCTCTCGGATCTCATCACCGAATTTCTCAAACCATATTTATGAACACAAAGGCAAGGGCTTCAAAATCATATCAATTCAATTAGTTTTCAAACAAATAATTTATTTTATAAATCTAATTCTCAAGTTTTATCGTCTCAAACATAATTCAGGATTATCAGCAATTCTCAAATTTTATCATTTCAAACATAAGTCGGGATTATCAACAACCGATAACTTTTTTTCTTTTTTGGTACACAACAACCGATAACTTAACTCCTCCTTTGTCTTCGATTACCCCCCATTTATTATTGGGGATAAAACCTGTTATAATAACAAAACATGCAGTGGTGTAGAGCCCGGATTAAAAGAAGTATTAGCACTTCAGCAGATTATGTGAAGAAATTATCAGGATATATAGTCTGCTGTCATTGCATGCCAAACGTTTAATTTGAACATGCTACAGCTTGAAAAGAATATAGTATAAAAATGAATTTTTTTAATGTGATATAAAAGTCAATATTCAATCAAATCTCACCACCAAATATCTTTACTTGTAAGCCTGGGTTTGTAATTATTGAAAATTAAATCAATAGAATTGGGTCATATGAACTAAACTAGACAAAAAAAATAAAAATAAAATTGTATTCAGTTTCGTGTTGGTGTCATCCCCAAGACTTGTGATGCATCTAGCCTTATAATGAAAAAACTCGACATTCTCCTAAATCCTTTTTTTTCCGAAAAAAGAGTAAAGCATAAAAATAAAGGTGTGCTCTAAAAATTTAAATTTCACTCGAATTGTTGGAAATTGATACACATACACAAGATTGCAAACAAGAAAAGAGAGAAAGGGAAGAGAAAAATAACACATCGATTTATCCTGATTCGTTCGAAATAAACTACGTCTAGCTTGTTTGTACTATATTCGTCTCACTGACATTCGTGACAAGCCACTCAGTTTACAAGATAATATAAATAAATTTTAGAAAACCCTGAAAATAATAGTTATTCATGGACCCAAACCTAAACTATTAAGAAAAGAAAAATACAATGAGTCGTTAATGAGTCAGCAATCAGTCGACAATGAATCAGTTATGAGTTGACAACGAGTTGTCAATCATAAGTTACGATGAATACGAAATATGAAACATACCCAACACAAATCTCGTCGCGAAATATCAATTACTTGGTAACACCATGTATATATTTTTAAAAATAAATCAACAAAGATTGGGTAAAGTTTAGTAGAAAAATAATTGCAAAATCACGATAGCAAAATAATTTATGTTTAAGAAAATATTTGAAAAAAATCAAATGTAATAAAACAAAATAAAAGCATGGATGGAAAAAAAAATTAGTACATGCAATTAAGGTTGTTGAATCGCAATATGTATTGTGTATCGTTTGACCAATTTTTTGTATCGTGTATCGTGAATCATATCGAATAGTAAGATACAGACACATAATAAAAAATAATTTAAAATATTAATTTAATTATTTCCTTTATTAATATAGATTTTTTTTTGAATTTATATCACAAATCAAATCTTTATTTTCTTTTTTTATTAATAATAGTTTTTTAAATTTTTTAATTTATATCATAAACCAAATATTTATTTCTTTTTAATATTAAAATTTAAAAAAATTTAATTTAATTTTCTTATCGTATAATACATGATATGTATTGTAACGTATGATATAGTGTTATATTGTCTGATACAAAGCCTTTATGTATCACTGTATTTGTAAATCGTATCGTATCATACGAATCATATTGTATATGGTACAATAATAATAACTATGCATGAAATAACATTAAAGACAATAAAAATAAATCTGAGCCCAAAGAAACTATGTCTTCTTAAAAATAAAATTAATTATTTAATATTAAATTATTATATAAATTATTAGAAGTAGACCTTTTTTGAACAAGAAGGTTTTAACATTGTGAGGTGGTTTATCTTAGGACCTTGGCTGAACTGTCGTGTTCATATTCTGAGCTGCATACCTTAACCTCAGCTACCATCAGGGTGAGCTGAGGTCTAGGGTCTGCGGGGTGGAGATCATCAATGACGGCTCCGGTATGGTTGGAGTTACTGGGGTATGACTTTGATTCTGCGCAGACTTTTAATATGACGCAAAATTTAAAAAAACTTCCAGGATATACACGCGGTGATGCCGTTCCGTGGGCAACACATTGCCTATACGGTGGGGTTGCTTACTGTGGATCCCGCATACTACATATGTCATACATTCTGTTTCCGCGAGCGTTCAATCATTCCAGGGTGTTGGAGCATGACATTCCCATCATGTGGGCTATCCGACATGGTACTTCGGTGAACTGGAGGCACTACATCTGTTGGATGATTTATAAGGCCAAACACAAGGGTGCACTTCCATTTGCTTGTCTTGTTCAGAGGATATTGGAGCATTTTGATGTTCCCATGGGTAATGTGACTTTGAAGAAGACCACATGGTATAATCATATTTGGAAAACGTCTACTGGAGCAGTGCAAGATGACAAAGAACCCCAAAACAGGAGTGTGGCAGTTCACAGGTGCGGCTGATGTTGAGGTTCCTGATGTTGCTCCAGTTGTAGACATGGTTGAGCCCGAGGTGGAGGATGATGATGACGATGATGATGAGGGTGACCAGCAGGAGATAGCTGAGCCTGAGGGTGGGTTTTATTACGTGATGTCATGAAGGGCATAAACGCCACGCTGAAGAAAATAGGAAAAATGGCGCTGAAACACAAAAAATGGAGGAAGAGTCACGTGCATAAGGGAAATGAAAGATTTAGACATATACAGGGACGGTTCAAGGGTGTTGAAGATAGGCTTGCTCGTCTAGAGCTTGGACGAGGATAGCAGATTGAGGATGTTGCAGGGCAGGGGGCTGATGTGTCAGATGAGGATGACGAGGAGACGACGTCCGAGGAGGATGAGGATTAGATTTAGGGTTTATGTTTCTATTTTACGTTTGTAGTGTATGTTGTTATGTAATTGACTTCGGTCTTCCTATTTGACATTTGTAGTTTATGTAATATTAATGAAATGAACTATTTGATGTTTATGTTGTGAACCGTTTACGTAATTAATACCAAATGAAGGTCCATAATTATCCTCGTCTATTTCCCTCAGTGGTATTTGACTTAAGATAGGTGCAGGTGCAGATAAACCGACCACTCTGTCTTCTTGACTTTGATTTCTTCCATGCACAGGTGCAGAAGAAGATTGACCACAGTCTATTTCAACATATATCTCAATAAAGTTTTGAAATTTTCGGTCCACAATTGCATCTATGACACAGTCCACATCTTCATCGTCACATAAAAGATCTTAATTATTTCGTTGATTTTTTTATTCCTATCCTGATATTTTATCTCTCTCATTTTTCCCATATTAAATTTGGATTCCCACTTAAAAAAAATTATAGGTATGAGACCCATGAACCCTAATTTTAATTTATAAATAAACCGGGGTGAGACAAATGAAGATTAAAAAATTAAAAAATATTTATAAATTATTAACGTTTACAAATTAATTAAAAAATTTAATTATGTAGACCTAACCATTCATTTATGCACAAAATAAATTAACACATTTATTAATCTAATGGCCCAAATACCAACATTAAATAATATTAACACATTTTACTACTCTAAGGTTTCTAAACCTTAAACCCTAAATAAATTACAAATGTATTAAAGCATAAATAATAAATTAAATAAATTAATACCTAAGCATTCAAGCGTGAATAATATTAACACATTTTACTAACTTAAGGTTTCACAAACAAAATTTAAATAACATAAAAAATGTATTAAAGCATAAATAATAAATTAAATAAATTATATCTAACAATTTATGCATAAAATAAAATTACCATATTTACTAACCACAATTATTCAAATATCAATATTAAATAATATCACATATTTACTAACCTAATATTTCAAGTATCAATATAAAAGAATGTAACATATTTATAAAAGCATAAATAATAAAACAAATATATTATAAAAGCAAAAAAAAAAAAAAAAAGCCTAACCTTGTAGAGTGAGAAACCAGTTAGAGAGAGAGGGAGTGAGGTAGAAATGGTGGGGTGCGGGGTGGGACCGTGGGGTTTAAATAGAAAATCAGTTGCACATAATTCGCTACCCTATGTAGCGAATTTGTAGATGGATGACACGTGTCCCACATGCGCAGTGCAGCAGGTTATCGTTGCCACATATTTCGCTACACAGTGTAGCGAAATATTGGTGGTGTGACATGTGTCCAACAGGTGACTGTCCGTCTGACCATTTGACCACATATTTCGCTATCCTGTGTAGCGAAATATGTGGACCACTAGGGAGGTGACACATCAGCAGGCATAATTCGCTACACTGTGTAACGAATTAGTCTGCGTGGCATTTTAGAAATTTTTACTGTAAGCGTGACATTCTGGTAAATAGTATGATGAACAGTGACAAAATGGTTACTGTTCCGACAAATGAAGACCGAGACACCTTAGACCAAGGAACTAATAAACCATGATGGCGAGTGAGAATGACTCGCCGCCACAAGCACTATTTCCATGCGACCTCACATATGAAATCCTGTTGAGGCTCCCTGTGAGATCTCTTTTGCGATGCAGGTGTGTGTGCAAGCAAGGGGAGTCCATGATCTCCGATACCCACTTCGCAAAATTGCACCTTTCTATGTCCACCGTGGATCCAACCTTGACCCACCACCGGTTGCTGGCACCCAACAGGAAAGGCAACGACAAGTTAGCATCTTGCTCCGCGAAATCACTGTTTAACAACCCATTAACCCTTACTGAGGATGTTGACTTCACCATGAGGAGCAATTACCGAATCGTTGGATCCTGCAATGGGTTGGTGTGTTTGTTTGATCGCGATCAAAGAAATGCCTGGTTGTGGAACCCATCTACAAGGTTGTTGTCAAAAAAAACTCCGTCTGTGGATGTACGTGGTGTTGAGTGTGCCTTGTTTCGAGGTTTTGGTTATGATCATGTGAGTGGCAAGTACAAGGTGGTTATTGTTTTTACTGATCCCTGCTCTAATGAAGAAGTGCACAGAACTGAGACCAAAGTTTATGCATTTGGTGATGGATCTTGGAAAACAAAACCGAATTTGAAATTCCCTGGTTATCCCATGATTGAGGAGGGAAATTTTGTGTGTGGCAATTTGAATTGGGTGGCAAATAGAGCTAAATCTATTAACCGTCCTGAATGGGAAATGCTTTCTAGATGACAATGTGTTGCTAATTCACATTGCTAAAAAAGATACATTTATGGTGATAAACCTTTTGCTAAATGTATCCTTTCCCATTAATATATATAAAAAGAAAGCAATAAACCATAAAAGTAAAAGTTTTTAAAGTGATCTAGATGTCAAATTTCTCTCGGATCTCAACACCGAATAACTCAAACCATATTTATGAACAAAAAGGCAAGGGCTTCAAAATCATATCAATTCAATTATTTTTCAAACAAATAATTTATTTTATAAATCTGATTCTCAAGTTTTATCATTTCAAACACAATGCAGGATTATCAGCAACCGATAACTCCTTTTTTTTTTCTTTGATCCCCTCCCCCCTTTCTTTATTATTGAGGATAAAAGCTGTTATAATGACAAAAAAATGTAATCTGTGTGTGCATAATCCAGAGTAAATAGCATGTGTGCAACTGGCATTGCTGCTTGAATTTGGAATTGGAAAACTTTTGCAGATAAACTGTGTGTGTTAATACAAGCTAAGAATCTATATTTTCATGTTCTTACTAAGTCGATCACACTTTCAATGTATTAAAAGTTAGGCAACTAAAGAACTGAAACGCTTATAACTCCCATTTGACTTAGCGCAGCTATTTGAATCTTCCACAGCCAGGCCTTGTGCTCCAAACGAGAAATACCGATTCATCAATTTCTTATTGAAGGAACTCTGTTTGTGGTTCAATTGAAGTGTGCAATCATCTATTGATCGGTTGGAGCAAGAGGGTCCCATTATATCAACACCCTTTTGTTTATTGATCAAAGAAAGAGAAGCCACAGATAATTCTTGAAAAGGACTAGAAGTTGAATCAGGAGTAAGAGGCACTTGTGGCTTTACCTGAATCACCCCTTGCATTAGGCGCGCAGTGAAATTCATTTTGGAGATTGTACTTGGAATGTAATTCCTCATAGATTGTGTTCTTTTGTTGTTTGGAAGGGAGCATGGTTGTGAGTATCTTTGCCGTAACGGGATTGGAAACTCTTCCAAGTTTCTACTTGAACTGAAAGGATCAAGAGAATCATCATCTTCCAAATTTGAGGCTGCTGCTTTTGTCTCTCTTCTCCTAGGCCACTGGAGAAGAAACTTTAAGCGCCTTGCAGCATAATTGACAGAATTAGACTTAATGTTATATGGAGAATTGGCCGAGTCAGAATTGCTTAGTTCGCTTGAGCACGAATATGATTCCACACTTGCTTGATCATACTTGCCATCAGATGCATTCTCAATGCCAGTGTACAAGAATATCTCTGCATCTGGTATTCTAAATGAAGTCCCAGGACTCCCTCCAATGACATGGTTTTTCATATGAGTGAAAAGGGTATTTGCCATAGAATCCTTATGATTAGAGATTCCTCCAGCGGAAATCAACTGTTTGATTAAAATTTCAGAAGATGCTGATCTTGGTCTTTGCTTCAAAAGATCCAAAGGGGTCATCCCATCAGCATCATGGATGTTCAAATCAATTGATGACACAGACATCAATAATTCCACTAGCTCACATTGGATGTTATCAATCACTGATACATGAAGAGCTGTTCTTCCATCATTGTTCTTGACATTGATAATATCCCCCGCGTTCACAATCTTTTCACTCACCAATTGCTTCATGAGTTCAATATGCTTGTCCAGTCTACGGAAACCAGGACTTTTGAAACCAGCAACTGCCATATGAAGAAAAGTATCTCCATAGTGATTGGTTAACAATGCTAGTGAGGGTGATGCAAGAATCAGAATCTCAACCACAGATAAGTAACCCCTGTAAGAAGCTACATGTAATGCTGTGTTCCCTTGAGCATCAGTTAAGTTGACAATATCAAATGACGCAAGTAGATTTCTCACCACCTGTATCATTACAGTGATCAAAATAAGGGACAGTGAAAATGCAGGGTGTATGCAAGTTTGGACATATTGAACTTATGTAGAATTAAGAATTTAACATTAACCCTGGTTGGAGTCTATGTAATGCTTTGTACCTGTAGGAAGGTGCCAAAGGGCATGCCAATCTAAGGGCAAAATGTGAATACTATTGTTTGAACAGTGTTCTCAATATCTTACATTTCATACTCATTCTAAAGGAACCTGATTTATTGTGAAGCCTGATATTGATAATGCAAAGAACCATATATATTCTATAACATTTATTCCAATTTGAGACTCATATTAAACAAGCAGAACTCATAAATATTCTACAAACACATTAAAAGTAAACCGGCTATGATGCATCACCAAGCATGTGGATCAACTAGTAAAAGGTTGTTTCAGCTTAACCAGTGATTTTATATTCGAGTCGCTGAGAATGCAGCTGTATTAATACTTGGTCGGGAGAGCTTTGCCGCTCATGTAATTCCAGTAGCTCCAATCAAACTAGTTAAATAACCAATGAATCAATGGATAATATAAAAATAAAAGTAAACTGTCTCACCTCAACCTGTCCTCTGCCAGCTGCTGTATGCAACACTGTGCATCCTTGAGAATCTCTATAAGCTAAAATGTCAGAAGCAATTCCAACAAGCTGCTTCAGAATCTCCCAGTTCCCTCCTCTGGCAGCAGCATGGATGGCCCTATTCATCATGTCCCTCTTGAAAACTCTAGAACTTTCATCCAATTCTTCACCACTACTCTGGCACTCTCTTGGCAAGAGAGAAGAATGAAGGAGGAGTTTGAATACCTCAGAATTGCTGCTCCTGGCTGCAGCATAAAGCATATCAGTGACTCCATACTCTCCTTCACCAAACACAAGAAAAGGGTCTCTTCCCAACAATTCTTGTACAAAATCCACGTCACCAGCAGAGGCAGCAGTGTAAAGAAGCCATCCACCATACCCAGCTCGAATGAGAGTGTTATGGCCTTTTCCTGTCTCGCACTCAAGCATGAGATTCCTAGCAACCTGCGAGCGACATTTAGCGACATCTTCGAACTGTGTCTCATCATCCCACACGGTTTCGAGGCGGCGAATTCGACAAAGTGAAGTTAGCTTTATGAGGAGATTGGTGTCAAGGTGTAAAAGCTCCACCACTAGATCATAGAGGCCATTTGCTGCAGCCCAATCAATGGGTGATGCATACCACCATTGTTCTCCTGTACTCTCCCAACGAAGAGGAAAGTTCGAAGGAGGCATTGGCACACCACAATTTCACTTTTTTAGATGCTGATCTTCTCTTGGATTGAAAGTTTTTTGTTTCAATTAAATGGTATCAAAATTTCTTTGAACCTAGGCTTGAGGTTAACAGGGTTAACTGTGTGAAGTACAAACTAACTAAACTAATGGGAAAATGTCGGTGGGGATGCTATAATTAATTGATAACATGAAGCTAACTACTACTGCTGTTCTCTGCAGAAGTCGGTGGCAAAATGTGGAATAAGGATAAAAAAATAAACCAAGTATAAACTGTTGTCACATGGTATGATATTAGATGAGAGGGACGGACACTGTTGTCAACGATGGAGGAAAAAGTTGAAAAGAAAGCATAGAAAGATTGAGATTCTCTCGTCCGTGACCATATGGACAAAAGGGTATTTTTCTTTTTATCTTACATACATAAAAGTGTGTTAAATTTATGTGGAATAATGTGAAAAGAAAAGAAAAATATAAACTAATTCCTTTATTTAATTATAAATCATCTGACCTCATTAGGTTGTTTCGTTAACTTCTTGAAATTTCAAGGATCACTTATATCAGCAGAGGAGAAAAGAAAGGTAGTGAGCACAAGTTTTTTTTATGGGCTTTATTAATCTCATGCAATAGGAGAGAACTCTCTCATGCAATAGAGATAATCATGTGTGGGACCCACCTATTATAGAAAAAGAAAAAAAGAATAAAAAAGTAACACGGAAATCGATGTATGTGTAGGAGAGAAAAATTATATCCTACGACATAAGAGTATATTTTTCCTTTTTTATTACTATTTTTAGACTATTGAGGCAAATCCTTTTCATACATGCAGTATTTGTGCTTCAAAGATTATTGCACTGCGGAAAGCAGAAGGCTATAAACTTCTGTTGATATCATTTGGAGCATAACATCTTCACGGCAGGAATGGATATGTCACTTTCTAAAAGATTGGGGAAGCACCTACGGTCATGTACTCTCGTCCTCTACACAGGGGAAATGTTCTTCTCAAGGTGTCTTTGATATTTTCTGACACTTTTTTATTTTGGTAAACATATTTTCTGACACTTTAATATATACTATAGAGACCAAAAACAGATTTTAAATATTGTGTTGTATTTTTAGTTTCAATTATTAGATTTATTATATTATAATTATTATTTTATTGAGTTTAATATAAATATTTGGGATATCTTATATCTTATATTTGGGATATCATAATTATACATTTTGATATTAAATAATATTTTTAATATATATAATATAACCTACATTCAATATATATAATAGCCCATAATAAGTCATATTACCAATCAAATATTCAATTTCATAACATAAATATAAACAAAAAAAAAAATTTGTACCTTGTTAATTTTTCATGTCAAATTTCATAACAGAAAAAAAATTAATTTATAAATTAATTTTTATATATTTAGTTAATAAAATTAAGGCCTAAAAAAAACGTGTCGGAGCGTTGACCGTGTGTCGGAACGTGTCCGACACGTGTCCGACACGCACAATTTGAAAAACAAAGCGTGTTCGTGCTTTGTAGACTACAAGTTTAGCTTCATTTTTTTTTTTTTTTTTGGAATTACACAACCCTAATTATCTTTTTGAGACGAGTTGGCTCCCTCTGGTATCCCCACGAGCTTCGACTCTTTGAACCGGCTATGAGACTAATCCGGAGTGCAGGGGAACAGTGATGGCTAAAGGTTCAGCCCCCTCCCCAAGAATACATTCAGCAGGAATCGAACACATATCTAACCCCACTAACTCAGCGCCAAATTACCAACTGAGCTGCACCCATTGGGTGTTTACCTTCATTTTTTTGTTAAATTATTAAATATTAATATGGTATATACTACATAAATTAAAAATATTATTTAATATCAAAATGTATCCTATTGTGTCAAAATCTAATATTTTTTAGAATTAATGCATTGAATTATTGTGTTGTGTCGTATCGATGTCGATGCAACATAAGGTGTAACCTGTGACTTGAAAAAGATGAAAGAAGGAACAAGAAGTTTTCATACCCTTGTTTTATTTTTATTATTATCTATGAATTTATTTATTATTCAACTAATTTGATTCGAATCTATGGTAGCAAAGTTTTCCTGCCAATAAAGATGTGAATTTGTTTAGATTTTATGATAAGGATGGGAAAAAAATTGAATCTTAAATTTGTATTTTTTTTATTTCATTATTCAGAAAACAATAAAATATTCAAAAGTAATATGTAAATAACATTATTGAAATACGGAAATAACATTATGCACAACTTATAGTTGTGTATAGGGGTGATAATAAGGTCACGGGCCTATCAGGGGCCTTAGGCCCGACCCGTTTCGACTCGGCTCGGCTCGTCTTTTTTTATTATTAAGCCCATACTTATACTCAAGCAAAAGCATTTTTATTTAAAAGGCCTCAGGCTTCCATAGTCAAGCTCGGCCTTGAAGCCTTGAAGGCTGGCCCGTATACATTAAATTTGTTTATTTTATATATTTTTATATTAATCATTTCAACATCTTTTTCTCAGTTTTCTGTCTCTGCTCTATCTCTTCTCCCCGATTTAAGTCATCGTCCCACCAACAGGTAAATGAAGTCATGTTCATCATCTATTTTTATAAGCCATGCGGATTCCACGACTTATAATGATGCTTATGGCGGCGACCGTGGAAGAAAATTTAATGTAAAATATGGAAGAAAATTTATTGGTGGGGTTCAAATCTAGTGTAAAAAATCTAGAATATTAAGGAATATGGAAGAAAATTTAATGTAAAAAATCTAGAATGTGGAAGAAAATTAAGGAAAAGCAACGTAAAATAAAGTAAAGGTGCTGTTGTTATTTTGATTTTTTAATATTAATGTTTTTTTATTATAAAAGAAACAACTATTATTTTCTTACAAAAAAAAATACATATCAGTGCATGATTAATGGGCTATATACTGCTACAAATTGGAAGGCATGGTTTTTATTTTTAATAAATAAACAGACCACAAGCTTGAGACAGGCTTTTATTTTTTGTAAACGAACCAGGCCACAGGCTAATATTATATTCGTAACAGGTAACAGGCTAAGGCCAGTCTGACACGTTTAAATACAGGCTTGGCCCGTTAAGATCAAAGTTCGGCTCGACTCGGCTCGGCCCGTTAACACCCCTAGTTGTGTATGACTGTATGAATATACGGTTGACCTTATTTTGTTTTATTTTTTCTTAAGGACATATGGATCCCTATACTTTATACAAAGTCTAGGTACACCAATAGAAAAGTCACCCCATTTAAAGATTAATAAATAAGTTATTTTAAAGAGTAAAAACCAATAATGTACAATATTTTTTATTTGTATTAATTAATGAAAATATTAATATTTCTAGAGCTGTACAATCATACAATTAAAAAAAGATAAATTTAATTAATAAAACAATATCATTTTAATATACGTGAAAAATTATTCATCAAACATTATTTATTTTGTAAAAGCCAAACCAAATACTAGGAGTTGTTCGCCGGCCCACGATTTTAGCCTTTGCACTTATAGGTAAAGCACGTGGGGTTATATCTCCACATAATGAGATTTTTATGTGATGTAAGAAAATATAATAATAGAATTTTATATTACTTATATATATATATATATATATATATATATATATATATATATATATATGGGATCTACGTGAGATCATATAAAAATAAGAGAAAGAAAGAAAATATAAGTCACAAACACATACATATTGTGTAAGATAGATCATTTTATTATAATATGAGAAATATTAAACCTTTAATACTAGTATTTAACTAAAGAGAAGCATTATATATGGAAAATAACGTAATGCTATATTTAATATGAGAAAAATATTTCTTTAGTCATTTGAGATAAACTTATCTCTAGTTATCTTTTTTAACTATATATTTCTGGAAATAAATAGTTATAACCTATGTTGCACCGACACTGACACACACGAGTAGGGATGAAACTTGGCCGGACCGACTTACAGGGGCCTACAGCTCGGCCTACGAAAGGCCAGACCTGACCTAATATATTTCATAAAATAGGCCGAGTTTGGGCCTTTAAAAAGCTTATTTAATAAAAAGGCTGTAGGTCCACTTTCACAAGGTCTGGCCTATAAGCCTATAGCCTGCCTATATTGTATTATTTATTTTAAATAAAATAAAAAAGAATAAGTATGCGTTGAAAAAAAAACAAAAGATATAAATTTAATCAATTGCAATTATTTATAATTTAATTATATTCGATTATATTTTAATAGAAATATGACTTTATTTCTTATGTAAGAGAAACCAACATCTCAACATGTTAGATTGTGTATATGAATATATTAAAAGATTTTTGGGAGAGGTTATACTTATTACAAGCATCATGGTGTGTTCGTTGGATTCATGTAATTATTTTAATTTACATAGTATGGATTTGTTTATTGGATCTGATAAAATATATGTTATTTAGTTTGAGCATTTTGCTTTTGAAAGTGACTTAAATTCAGATTGTATGAGTTTTGTTGTGATTCATAATTCTGTTTGGATGTTAAAATTATAAGTTTTGGTTTGGCAACAAAATTTGAGTATTTTGTAAAGTTGATTCATGGAAGTTAAAGTTAAAAGGCTAACAGGCTAGGTCAGACCATTTTTTTTATAAACGGGTCAAGTTAGGTAACAATTAGACTCGTAGTAGGCTTGAGCCAGGCCAAATTGAAATTTTTTGACGTAGGCTTGGGCTTTTCGGGGAAAAGATTGGCCCAACCCAGCCCACTTTCACCCTAACGACACGACACGCCGACACGTTAATTCTAAAAAATATCATATTTCGAGACGTTGGCACACGTTATGATATTAAATAATATTTTTAATATATATAATATAATCTATATTTAATACATACAACAGCTCATAATAAGTCATATAACCAATCGAAAATTCAAATTTAATAACATAAATATAAACAAAAATTATTTTTCGTATCTTGTTAATTTTTATGTCAAATT